CTTTCTGCCCTCACCCTCTGGAACTCCATCCCATAGCCCCTCACTTAACTCCTGTGAGGCCCATCTCAAGACCTTCTTCTTTGACTGTGTCTTCGGTCATCCTCCTACCTCCACCCACCCCCCCCCCTTTCCTCCATGCCTCGTGGCTCCAACCCTCAGCTCAGGTGTAAACCCTGTAGTGTCCACAGATGTGCTCGCTCTGTATCCCAAGAGTACCTGACAATATTTACACAGTGTATGTAATGCATGTCTGTCCTTGTTCCCCCATCTATTTATGGGGGATATCAGAGAGGGAATTGTGGCTTACCATCCCTGCTATAGATAAAGGATGGCAGAACATGGACTGGCCCCACTGTGTAACTGCACCCTCTAGATAAAGGACAGAAGAACTACCAGGCGAGGATGCCTTGATACTGTTGCGTTGTGTTGTGATGAGAAAAAGTTCTTACACATGTAAGTCTATATTTTATTTACGTCAATCAATAAATACAGTATATTGTTAAGAAAAAAGGGAACCGTGTCAATCAATACTAACAGCTGCTCATGCCAAATCCAGACAAACACTTGTCAAGTGGATTTCACTGGATAGTAATCAGAGATAAGAGCTCTGACTGATCTCCTCCTTACTAACACAGGAGACGCTGTAACCTGGCTGCGATCAGCTAACAACACAAACTGAAGAATCGAATCGGGTGCCTTCACAAAACTGTGTCATTCATTGGTTAAACTCAACAGACCATCACAGTGCCCTGAATATTCTGCAATACTGTTATGTGTAGCCAATCCTTCAGTAAAAATCAATTCTTACACTGGCATAATCCGACAGTATATAGGGTAGAATCCTCAGCGTTTTAGAAAGGGTAAGAGCAAAACTTGGTTAAAACCAGTAAGTACAAAAATAATTGTGTAACTTCGGTTATCAGTCTATCAGTAAATTGCAGTTTCTTAAATCTAGGGTGCCTGCTTGTTCTAAATCTCAGCAATTGTTCACAATAGTCAATTATACATTCAGCTACTTTGTGACACAAATATCTTTCTACTCAGAAGAAAATGTCTCTCAGCCAGGCCCAACCTTTTGAATGCTGATTATCCTCCAAACATTGGACTTTTTCCACTGTATGATATCTTCCCAAATAATACGTCTGTTTCTGAGTGTTTAGAGTGACTATCAACAATCCTCCAGATTGACTTCTCACTCACCTCATGGCTGTTTTTGGACATTGGTGACCAAAATATGACTGCCATATTTACCTAGTACAAACAGTCACTACATTTCACAATAATTACCCCCGCCGCACTTGAGATTTTTGATGTGATACAGTGCTAGAAAAATACAAGTTCTTTCTTTCTTAATTGAATACCAGTTAATGGTATTTCTTGTAAATTAAACATATGTTCACCACTGATACAACCCCTAAGGATTTTAGTTTGTTTACATGCAAATTGGAGGATAAAGAAAAGGTTCTCCTGATGAAGGAACATGTTCTGAGCTGATGGTACAGTAAATTGGTTCACACCCGCAAATCACCCACACGACAGGGCTGAGCTTTCTGATGAAGAGGTGGTTCTGAGCTCACAGGGAAGGAGGGAAAAGTATAGAGCGAGTCTGCTTGGGCTGCTAACATGCACTTATCACCCACCACCAGTAATTATCTGTGCATAAATTGGCCTCCAGGTTCGCCCACAAAATTCAGTTACTGCACTATACATGTATTCTATAATGCGCTTTGGGACATCCTCCTAACTTGAAAGGCACTATACCAAATGTAAGAATTGTTATTATTTTTTAAAACATACCACATTTTTCACCCCTTGCCCATTGATCACAATATACATTAATAACAGGGTATATATTCCACCTGGGACTAGATTTACTCTATTTTCTTAGCATTTCACAGCATCTAGAATTCTGCAACTTCTTCATTTTGAAGCAGGTTTTCTTTATGCACTCATTTTTGAGTGCAGTGACATTCAGCTGGATCTTCAATTGTGGAGACTTCCACAGCTGATCCCTGCCTTGACCTCACCTGATATTCACATACCTATGCTTTACAGCAGGTATTACAACTGGAAATAAGAATTATTGATTCCTTGAATGTTTGCAGCAGAGAAAAACATTTGGCTTATTGTGTCTATGCAGATGCCAGCTCCCCTGCTTTAGCTCTGTCCTATATCCTGTTTATCAACTTTTAAATACAAGGACAAATCTTGTTTTCCTCCTCCCTCCCCCTCTTTTGCTCACTCTATTCTAAATTATTAGCCTTATTTTCCCCCATTTTTAATCAAATATTGTTCTGTGAAGTATTGATTTCTCACACATTATATGAACATTATCATATACATTGGCATTCAATTGGTTAAACTCCGATAACAGAATGTCCCAATTAACCACATTCTAAGCAATGCTAATTCACTTTCTATCCCTGAGCAAAGGGGATTATATCTGCACCATGAAAACTGAATACATTTAGATCACTCATTGGTATTCTCTGGTGATCACCCACACATATAGAAATACTGAGTGCAATACACTTGCAAACATGTTATTGAGTTCTCTGCATGAGGCTATCATCTCACACACCCTTTCCAAACTACATATTATGTAAGGCAGAGTACAGAGATAACACAATGCAGAAAAAACACTTACAAAGTGTTTGTTGTTACTGAGACAGCTTTTGAATTTCATTAGATAAATGGTATATTAGGAATCACTAATAGCTGAGTGAGTAAGTGCTCCATATTGTGCAACACTGACCTTTAAATCCCTGGCAAATACTCAATAGATGGGTTGGTAGTGGAGAGATGCTATTTGCAGTAAACTCCAGATAACTTGTCACTCCAAGGAAAAAGGGCTCAGTGATAAGTTATCTGGAGTGGCCTGTTAGGCGTAGGTTCTCCTGGGCTACAAGGGAAGCTGTGAATGGTGCGGGGCTCGGTGGAGGTTGCTCCGGTGGATCGCGGAGGGTTTTGGTCTATGGGAGGGCTGTACCATGACCTCCTGCCTTATCCTGTCACAAGGTCCTCTGGTCTATTGAAGGGCCTGTCAGAGGTGGGCGGGAGGCTCTCCAATGGACCAGAGGCCTCTGTGAAGCATCTGAGCATACATGCTCAACCTCCACCAAGCGCACACACCAGTCATAGGATAGGACAAGAGGCCTCTGAGATACAAGACGTTAGTTTATGGGACAAGTTATCTGTTCAATTTTACATTGTAAGTACTTAAAATATGTCTGGAATGCAACTAGTTACGTGTTAAGCGGATTGACAAGTAAAGCAGAATCCCTTATGACCATTTTGCACAGGAAGCAGCCAGGATATTGACAGTATGGTAACTAAAGTGTTAGTGACAAGTTAAGAGTTAATCTGGAGGTTACTGTATGGTATGTTTTTTTTAGGAAATGGAGGGAGAAAAACTGATCTTCCGATCACTATCCATTGACACCTCCAGGGAAATGCACGGGTGACATGTCGGATGAGGACAGAATTGGATTTGGAATCACAGAAAATGTAAAGTAGAGAAGGAAGCTATTCACTTCTTGTGCCTGTGCTGGTGCCAATTCCCTCACTATTCTAATCTCATTCTCCTGATCTTTAACAGTTTTCTTCTTCCAAGTGTTTATCCAATTTCCGTGTTATGACTATTCTGGACTTAGTTTCAACAGCCACCTATAGTACAGCTTTCCACAGTCAACCAGCCCAGAAGTTTTCCTTCTATGAGACAAGGATTGTGGTAATCTTCTTGTTGTACCTGGCAATATCTGCTAATTCAGCACAGATCACCTTGAACCCATAATTGTGTTTTGTACTGGACAGGGGCTTTACCAAATGAGCCACTTTCCTTCCTAATACCTATTCTATAAATACAATATACACAGGGAACGTAAGTTCACAGAATGCAAAGCATAAAGCATAAAGAATATAACCCCCTTCTGAAACAACTGCAGTGCCATCCACCATCCACCTGCCCTGGTAAACAGTGCTCAAAACCTCTTTTTGTTTCCATGGCCATCCTATTTCATTTTGTTTTAATTGTTTGGCATTTGTACAGTATGAAATGTTCACAAATTAATTATTACCAGGGGCTACTTATGGCATTTTGTCAACGCTCACAGCTCGCAAGCTGTCCACACACGGAAGATTGAAACTTCTTCTTAATTCAATCATTATTTCCAACGAAGAGTAAGACTTTCAGGAATTAAATATTCATTTTGATAATTCTATCAATTTGGCTTAAGTGCAAGCAAATATTTCTGAGTTAGATTAGCATTTTGTTCCAAATTGATCGCAGTTCAGTGCTGTGGAACCGCAGTCACTCAGGATTGGATTGGAGCTGACTGAAGCTCATTTTCAAATGAGACTGTATGGCCAGAAGAGCAAAGTGACTAACATTTATTCACACCCAGGTTTCAGTGTGCCACTCAGTCGCCAGTGTTTATTTAAGGTTTCTTCTCACACAGTTGCTCCTGATTGTCTGAGGCATCACAAGAAGACACAAAGCTCTATGGAGGATTTCAGAAGAAGATTTTGTCAAGGTTCTCAATTTCCATCTTGCTCCTCAAATTAGGAAAATTACTGGAATTGCTGGAAGGGAAAAAGTTTATGCTCATTCTTTCAGTCAAATCTCCACATGGTGGGATTGTGGTCGGAGAAAATTAGAACACTCAGCTGTTGTTCTCATCTGAACGCTTCAGCTGCAAAGCACTTCAATATCATTCGATTTCCTACTTGAATCTCACAGCAGCTGATATGCAACATACATTCCACAACAGGGTTACGCTTAAGCAACCAGCAATATTAGACCACAGGTGTTAAATGTTCCATCGAATCTCTGCATTTTTTAATTCAGCATTGGACCACTGTATGAATCCCAAATGCTGAGATACAATACGAAAAGCAACTCCCTCTACTAGCAGCTTTCTTTAGAGCTCCCGCTCACTCTTCTGTCTGAATGGGTGTAGAAGTGAAGGTGCATAAGCAATGATCTCCAGTCCACCACCTCTTTATGTCATTGCTCTCCTGCGATTATGCAGTGGGGAATTTGCAATCTCTGTTGGAAATGAGCTGTCAGATTCCTGAGAGCTGTCACTTTTTGACAAAGCCTGGCTTCCTTTGAGCTGGGCTTTGTGCCTTGCAATGCGCTCTTGCTGATCTTTCAGCTCCATGTAAGAGCGGGAGAAGGTGTGAAAGATAGAGGTAACTGGGAAGGCCATCAGGAGAATGCCGCTTAGGATGCTGCTCAAAGCCACCACCTGGCCAGGGATGCTACGTGGGACCATGTCCCCGTATCCCACTGTGGTCATGGAGATCACTGCCCACCAGTAGGATCCTGGGATGCTGGTGAATTCATGTTTCGCTCCCACTTCACTTTCAGCTAAAAAGACCACAGGTGAGAAGAGTGCCATGGCCACGCAGAGAAAAAGCAGAAGGAGGCCAAACTCCCGTGTGCACCGGCGGACAGTGAGCCCCAGAGTCTGAAGCCCCAGCGAGTGACGAACCAACCTCATGACATACAAAATCCGTAAAGCACGCAGGACACGGAGGACGAGGCCCACTTTCTCCAAGTCCATATTCCCAGAGCCACTCGGCTTCTCATCGGCTGAGACAGCATCTACAATCAGGCTGATGTAGTAAGGCAAAATGGCCATGATATCAATGATGTTGAGGGGATTTCTCAGAAATGCACATTTGCTCGGTGTCTGGATAAATCGCAGCATGAATTCCAGTGAAAACCAGGCAACACAGATGGTTTCTAGTATAAATATGTTGTAACACTTTTGGGAACATTCACCCTAGAGAAAAAGAAAACATTTCAAGATAAGTTATTCTTACAAGCAAGCATTAGAGGTGTATGATTTTTCATTCAGAATTTTGTTTCATTGTCCAATTGCTTTTGTTGAGTGCTTATTGCAAGAGTCAAATAGTTTCAACGAATAGTTAAAAACAAAACTGCATTTGCAACAATGTGAAGGGAGAAGTTAGTATGTAAGAGAAAACATTTATTAATAATAAGTCTCTTGGTTAGATTGTTATGTAGGTCACACCATTCCTGATTTCACATTGATAGTAGATTGGGACATACAATTGACTACAGGAGAGTTGGGCTACAGCCTGCAGTGAGCACTATTCCAATGCACTTCACACATGATGCTTCATATTCCTTAAACTCAATGTTAGACACAGCACAAAACCCAGTAAATTCAATTGGAACAAACAAAACTTTTGAACCGGCTATAATTCATGTAATAATAATAATCCTTGCATTTGATATAGGCACATTATCACGTCTTCGAGACGACTCAAAGCCCTTCACGGATTATACTGTAAAGTGAATTGACCATATATTTTGTGGGCAAAACGCGACAGCCAATTACGCACAGCAGTGTTCTACATACAGTCGTGGATTGAAGTGACAAATTTTTTTTGAAGGAATTATTATGTATACAGTAAGCTACCAATATAACTGGGAAGGCTTCTGCTAATGGAACGTGTTACAGCAAGTAAAGGCAGATCTACAGTCCGAGGTAGACAGGAACTGATACTCCCTGTGTGGAAGCACCTGTCCTCTACTATGCAGCTTTCTAAAAAGGATTACAGAAACGAGAAATTGTTTAATCAGGAAATTGTAGGTGCAAACGTGTGCCTAATTGCTTTTTGTACCATCACACAGTCCCCAAGACTCACTATGTTCCATTTTTTAGCCATCTACAAATTAGAGAAATGCATCAGGTTTTAAACACTCTATGAAAAGATTTTTTTGACTGATGATTCCCTCCAATTTTTTTCATTCATTCATTCATTCATTCATTCAGTCCATTGAAGTTCTCTCACATTCCTTGACTATCTCACTTCCACCGTCAAAGATGTCTTTTGTTTTTCTTTGTTCCTTCCCTAGACTAGAAAGAGGAAATAATTAGCTATTGTGAACGTGGAATGCTTTATTACAATTGGCTGTTGGAACCGAGTCCACAATAGCATTTTAAATTAATACTGAAGAGAAATATAAACAAAAGGTACCGAGAAGGAGCAAAAAAATTAGATTGGATAGTTCCAGCATGGGAGATAGCACCAGCACATACCAAATGAATGAATGGTCCCCTTTTGTGCTTTAAACTTTCTGAGGTTCTAAGTCCAACTCTGTCCCCACTAAACATCTCATACGTGTGCATTTCGCAGGAGGTGCCAACGGACAATAATTAGAAGGAGATCATTTTTTTTTCTATCCGTATCCAATGCAATAAACAATAATTGTCATATCTCCACTATCCTTTTAGCTAACTGAGCACTTTGTAGGGATTTAGTAAGGGGTCACTCAACATGGTGTATTTACCCATCCAGCTATTCCCAATGCAATATTGTCAACTTACAAATACAGTCACTCCACTTCACAGTAAAGGTCCTGTGCAGTGGTTTGAGACACTTTGACGATATAAGCTGCTATATCAAATACAAGAATTATTTCTTAGCAACATTTACTTAATCAGATTCAAAAGGGGTCTCACTGACAAAACAGAAAATGCATTGTAAGCATTTTCCTGCTATGTGTGATCCGGTACTAGGTCCTGGATTACATAACATGAAGATTGGAAGGGGTGTGAGAGATGATATCCTCATGCAGAGCTGAATAACATGTTTACAACTATGTTACACTCAGTATTGCCATAGGTTGAAACCGAGTCCAAAACAACAACAACAACAACAAGATTACATTTGTATAGCGCCTTTACGTCGGGAGGATGTCCCAAGGCACTGGACAGTGTACAGCGTTTCAGACCCGAGCTGGGGTCAGGGGGGCGAAGGAAGGAGAAGGGAAGGGGGGGTGACCAATGGCATGGTCGAAGAGGAGGGTTTTGAGGTGGGACTTGGAAGGAGGCTAAGGAGGGGTCGAGGCAGAGTGATTGGGGGATGGCGTTCCAGAGGTTGGGGGCAGAGTGGCTGAAGGCTCTCCCGCCAATGGTGGGGCGGGTCGGTCGAGGGACGTGGAGCAGGCTGAGAGGAAGGAATGGATGGGTTGGTAGGGGGTTAGGAGATCACAGAGATGGGGTGGGGTGAGACCATGGAGGGCTTTGTATGTGAGGACCAGGATTTTGAACTGGATCCTCTGAAGGATAGGAAGCCAATGGAGTCGGGCGAGAATGGGGGCGATGGGGTCACAGAGTTTGGTGCGGGAGAGGACACGGGCTGCAGAGTTCTGGATTATCTGCAGCCTGTGGAGGGAGGAGTTGGGAAGGCCGACAAGCAGGGCGTTTGCATAGTCGAGCCTGGAGATGGTGAAGGCATGAACAAGAGTTTCAGTGGCCTGAGGGTGAGGTAGTGGCGGAGTCGGGCGATGTTACGGAAGTGAGGGAAGGCAGAGCGGGTCATGGCTTGGATGTGGAGAAGAAAAGACAGTTGAGGGTCGAACAAGACACCAGGTTCCTGACTGGCGGTGAGTTGAAGTGTGCAACCATGGAGGTTGATGCTGCCAGAGCCTGAGGTGCTGAGGCGCTGGCGCGAGCCAATCAGGAGGGCCTCAGTCTTGTTCACATTCAGCTGCAGGAAGTTTGCCCTCATCCAGGACTTGATGTCCGACAGTCAGTCTGTCAGGACAGCAGTGGTCCTGGAGTTGAGGGTGGAGGCAGAAAGATAGAGTTGGGTGTCATGTGGAAGTTGACCCCATGTCTGCAGATGATGTCACCAAGAGGGAGCATATAGATATTAAAGAGGAGAGGGCCAAGGACAGAGCCCTGGGGGATGCCAGACGTGACTGTGCGGGGGCTGGAGGAGAAACCGTTAGAGGCAACAAAACAGCATTTAAAACTAGTACATGTGGGTGATCACCAGAGAATACTTATTCAGTCTTCACGGTGCAGATATAATCCCCTTTGCTCAGGGAGGACAAGGACAGAAAGTGGATTAGCTTTACTGGGAATGTGGGACATTCAGTTATTGGAAAAATCAACCCACCAATTGAATGCCAATATATATGATAATGTTCACAAAATCTGTGTGAAGCCAATACTTTGCAGAACATTATTTAATTAGAAATGGAAGGAAATAAACCTAAAAATTTAGAATAAAGTGAGCAAAAGAGGGGGGAGGGAGTAAAAACAGATATACCCTGGGATTTATTTGAATTGGATTAACAGGTTTTAGTTGTTTTAAAACTGGTATATTAGAGAGTCTATGAAATAAAATACCTCTCCGACTTGCTTGGGACATCTTCAAGACGTGAAAGACATTTAGGACATCCTCAAGACATGAAAGGCAGTATACAAATACAATTTCTTGTTGTTGCTTACAACAACAAGATTTCATTTATAGAGCGCCTTTCACGTCAGGAGGACATCCCAAGGCACTGGACAGTTGGGTCAGGACCCGAGCAGTGAGGAAATGGTCAGGGTGAGGGGAGGGAAGGGAGGGAGCGAGGAGGGGGTAGAGAGTCGAGAGGGGAGCTGAAGGCACGGTCGAAGAGAAAGGTCTTGAGACCGGCCTTGAAGGAGGAAAGGGAGGAAGCGGCGAAGGCACTGGGGGATGGAGTTCCAGAGCCTAGGGGCTGAGAGGCTGATGGCCCGGCCACCGATGGTAGGGCCGTTGGGGCGGGGGATGTGGAGCAGACCGGAGCCAGAGGAACGGAGTGTACGGGCAGGTAGGTAGGGGGATAGTAGGTCGGAGAGGTAGGAGGGAGCAAGGCCGTGAATGGCTTGTAGGTGAGGATGAGGATCTTGAATTCGATCTTGAATTAGATCCACTTCATACCCACCACCTTTACTCAGCTGGCTCCAGCCTCCTGCACATCCCTTGTCCCCTCCATTCCATCATCAGAAGCCATCCCTCCACCAATCTTTAGATTGCATCTGAAGACCTTCCTCTTTGATTGTGCCTATGGTTACCTCCTCTATTTTCCTAGCTTGGGGTCAAGTTCAGACACTGTTAAACACTCCAAGATGCTACCCTGCAAGAACAGCCCTATTTAATGCAAGTTATTGTTGTGGTGGTTGTAAAAATGTACAGCAGTCATAACTCGTGTGTAAATATATTTCATTACTAAGCAGTTAAAGGTCTGAATTATTTCACTGTTTGCCTGCATTATATATTTCCAATGTTTTAGTCACATAAGAAAAAAGTCTCATAGCAAATTATCATGAAAAAACAGGAAAGACCATTTCATTGATGGGAAAAGTTCGATCAAGATCCCAATTTTTATATGAATCGGGACTGATTGATTTTGCTAACTAGATATGATCTGATTAGTAAGATAATTTCCACCGTATAATACCGGTTAATAAACGTCTACTGCACATTACATGTGAGAGTGAAGAGTCCCATCGGGAATTATATGTAGTTAGAAAACTAGAATTGGCAACGTTGAAAAGAAACAGTAGAATAGGGTCCAGTAACCATCAAGTCCACCCTTGGAAGAATCCTCCCTTCTACCGCCCACCCAATATTCTAATTTCTCTCCTAATCCAGATCACTTTTTTGGGGTCAGCTGGGTGTCTGACACATCACGATGCTTAAGAGGATCCAAACCAAACTGTAAGATCCATACGCATGGTTACCTAATTCTGGAGAGTATTAGGCGCAGGTTGGCAAGAGTCAAGGCTTTGGGACCTTTGTGTACCTGTCCAGTCATTCAATCCCTCCAAGGGAGGCAAAAATACAAAACAAAAAAACACAGCTAATTAAAAGGACCCCCCCGCCTCACCACTGGAAAATTACTCCAACTACTGAAGACAGTAAAGCGAGCTCCAGATGAGAGTTGAGCCACCATCTACACAATAATCTTTCTAAACCTATTTTTATACTCTGTTACATTGTTAAAATTCATGTCAGCATGGTATAGTCATGCTTCCCTGTCGGTAGCTGCTGATCAGTACTTCCTTAGGAAATCTATCTACTTCTCTCTTTAATGGGTAGCTGTGATGTACACAGACCATATTGTATTGTAACCGTGTCACAGATTCGCACCACGTTCTATATGAGGAAATGTTTTGAGTTGCCAGAGCATGTGAATCCCAAGTTGGGAGAAAAGTGGAAAAAAAATTGGTCCTAAAAAAAATAGACAGCAGTTGTAGAAAATGTATTGATAGTGGAGGCCTTCTCCTCTGCCATTATGCTGATTTCTTGGAGAATCTTGAAAACCTCAAAAGGAGCACTCAAGTCTCCTCTGCTCTGTCATGAGCAGGCCCTCTGCTTTGAAGATTTAAGGTATTTAAAAAATTTAAATTAAAAAAATAATTTGGTCACTTAATCTACAACTGTTTGTGGGACACTGCTGTGCACAATTGGCTGCCGCGTTTCACCCACAAAATATACAGTCAATTCACTTTACTGTATATTCTGTGAAGTACTTTGAGACGCTGAGAAGATGTGATAACGCGCTTTATCAAATGCAAGGATTATTATATTATTAAGGTAGGCCGCCCTCTAGTGGACAGAAATAGCCTGGTGTTCCTCCACTGCACTTCCCCAGTGACTCCACATCCTTTATAAAGTGCAGTGCTCAGAATTGGCATTGAGCACATTTCCTGCCAGAACACGGTACAATGCCAGAATAGGACTCTTTAGAGTTACTGTAATGGTCTATTGTTCGTGCTGCACATCCCAGTACTCAGTTTGCTCTGACAATGGCTGCTTTGCTCTGTTTTGGGGCCTTTAAGGGAGCAATTGACAATCACTCTAGTGTTTCCTCTGGGAGGAACTCTTTTTCTTCAGAGGTACCCATCGAATAAGATCGTTAAACTAAGGATTTTGGTGCATTGCATTCCCCCACATTAAAAGGCATCTTGCTACTTTTTGCCTAACTGAATATTCTGTTCACAGCAGTTTGAGATATGTCCACCTATTTACATAAAATGGTACAAATTTTAGAGTCATCAACAAACAGTGCTGTAGTGCTGTTTATAGTTAGTACGATGCTGTATAATGATGAATATTATAAACAGTAGGGGCTCCACCATAGAGCTCTGTGGTGACTCAGTGAGACAACCCTCCAGTGGGATCCTTTTTGACTGATGACCCTCTCCTCCTCTGTTTCTTGCTCAGCTAGCTCTCTGTGCACATAGTTGACTTGTACCCCAACTCCAGTGTTCCTGACCTTGTCCAGTGAGACCACATTTTAAATGGAAAGTAGATTATGCAGTATAAAATATGAAATCAAAGAGGGAATGCTCAATTTAAATGAATTGTTAGTTAGGCTACAGTTAGAATATTGTGTCCATTTTCAGTCACCTCATCTTAGGAAAGACTTCAAGGCAACAGAGGAGGTGTAGAGGAGATTTGCTAGGATGATACCAGGGATGCGTGGTTTGGCCTTTGAGCAGAGACTGGAGGAACTGGATCTTTTCTCGTCGGAACAAAGATGGTTGAGTTGTGACCTGACAGAGATCTTCAAATTCTGAAGGATTTTGAGGGAATCAATAGGGAGAAATTATGTCCATTGGTCAGTGAGTCTAGGATCAGAGGGCATCAATTTAAGATGGCTAGCAAATGAACAAATGGGGAAATTAGGAGACTTTTTTTCAAGAGCAAAGTAATAATGTGGATATGGGCTGCTTGGCCAGGAGAAGTGGTTGAGGCAGAATTCCATATTAGCTTTCAAAAGGGATCTAGATAGATATCTAAAAACAAGTAAACTACAGGGGTATAGAGAAAGTGGACTAAGGGGATTGCTCTTCTGTGCTGCAAATTTCATGATTCTTTGGTTCTCCTCATCTGTCTGGAACCTCGTCTATTACTAGAATTATGGGTCACTAATTATTATACATTGTACTGACCCTCAGAGACTTGGGAGAAGAATTATGCTATGCTGTGACAGGTAATGGTTTGAAGCCCAATCCACTGCCAGAAAATCAATCCATTAAAACCTCACTATGACAATCACTGCACAAGCTCAGGGAGCAGATTTTCTCTGGAGCCAGCTTTCCTTTTCCAAATATCATGTGTAAGGAGGTAAAGTGACCTTTCTTGCTGCAGGCATAGGCTGGATTCCGAGCATGTTTCTTCTCCAACTCCAGCTATACTCTCACACAACAAAATTGTCATTTTAAGAGGGTAATAATCCCTTAAAAAAATAATAATGTGGTCACTCAATCCACGGCTGTTTGTAAGACACTGCTGTATGTAATTGGCTGCCACATTTCGCCCACAGAATATAGTCAATTCACTTTACAGTATATTCTGTAAAATGCCTTGAAGACGTGATAAGGCGCTCTATCAAATGCAAGGATTATTATTATTATTATCTACTGACAGTAGCGGTTTCCTAACAGCACACAAGTAATGGGTTCTAATTTACACTGCTTCTCAATTGAATTCTTTAATAAGGATTTTTATTTCTAAAACACAAGCTTATTTTTAACTTGATATTTACAGCACATTTTGGGGTGGATTTCTACATGCAAAACATGTCTTAAATCTTATCCATTATTATAATAATTTCTTCAAAGTACTTAACAGACTGACTTGAACTCCAAGGCTGGGTCGTTGAGGAGGGAGTTGGAGAAGGAAGGGAAAAGTGGCCAAAAACACAGAGAAAGAAAAAGTACAGCAGTTTCTTAGTTTATAAAACTCAACAGGTGATTCATTCAAATCAAAATGTACTTTTGATTAGGGTTAGCTACAGCATAAGTAGGATTGAATTTTTTTCCTGGTAACTAGACTAGTTATGCACTTAAATTATAAGGTTTTATGATACTAAGAATCAATTCAAAATAATTCCTGGAATGAGTAATGGAACTTGAACCAGAGCTGCCAAAGAAGACTTACCCTCTCTTCCTCGTCTCTTAGATCAGGCATGGTGCTGATGCAGAGACTTACTGTAGTGATTGTCACAAATAAGACAGAGAGGCAGGCAAAAATCTTTCCTGGGATCCCTGACTGGGGGTTCTCCACCATGTCCCTGAGCTTCTTCATACAATGACCCAGACGGGTCGTGTCATCAAAGGCACCCTGAGATTCTTCAGAAAGTAGCACTTCATAATCCTTCTTGATGTCTGCCAGATCCTCTTCTTTCTGATACATCCTACGACGACAACACCACTCCAGGTTTTCATCCTCGATGCCCCAATAAACCAGCTCCTCCCGAAAGGAGAGAGCACACATTTCCCTGAGGAGCCTCAGCTTCCCAACAGTCAGGAAAGTCATAATAGTTCTGAAGGCACACGGATTGCGATCAAAGAAAAATTCGTTGCCGTTTACGTCATAATCATCGCAAATGTCCATGATTTCATCATAATTGTTGCATGACTTCAGTTTTCCCAGCCGCGTTAATGGGAACTCGTCAAGTGTTGTCCAAGGGATCTTGTACTTAATCCCTCCCACATTAATAATCACATACCGCGTTCTGTCATCTAGATGTGTGATGCAGTAGACATCCTCGTCTGGGTGAAGGAGTTTGACTTTTTTATAATAAAGGCCCTTCTTGGTGCAGGTCTCCACGTTTTCTAAAGTGCAGGGGAAGGATTTGAATTCCCGTTCAGAGCCACTCCCAGCAACCAGAGCCATACTGATTGATGGACAGACTGCCTTACAGAACTATTCAATCTGCCTCATCGTAAAGCAGTGCATAGGAGTGAAGTGCTTTTATCTGTAATGAGAAAAAAACACATTGTAAAATATAATATTCATCTTGGGATCTTCCAAACTACGCAACACTGTTTAATTGTGAGAGCAAAGTAAAGCACACTTCCACACTGCTAGCACAATAGAAATCTGAAGAGTTGAATAAGAGTGTTATTGAAATAATAGCACCATTTGAGCAGAGAAAACTACAAAACTACCACAGTATTAATAGAAAGTTCAATGGAGCATGGGAGATGAATGAGAGGTACCATGGTGTTTCAAAGAGTTTTCTCCTTGATACGTTTAAATTACCTTTGGCCCACCTTGACTGAATAAAGACAAGCAGAGAAGAGAAAGAAAAGGGGAGAAAACAAAAAGGATAACATATAAATATACAATCAATTCGCTTTACAGTGTATTCTGCGAAGTGCTTTGAGACATTTCGAAAACATGAGAAGGCGCAACATCAAATGCAAGATTATTATTATTATTATATCCAACTCCATTCTTCCACCTAATTCATGACTGGTAGAGCTTCGCATGAGATTGTCTTCTAGATTGTCGTTAGATTATCAATCAGAGAATAGTTCCTTCTGTAGCCAGATCATTAAAAGACTGTTCCTGAAATATGGTCTTTTTAAATTAAAAATGGCATAATTAATATTATAATAATTCTATAATAATCCTTAGATTTGACATAGCCCCTTCCATATCAGGAGGATGTCTCCAAGTGCTTCACAGGACTTACTGTGAAGTGTAGTGACTGAGTGTTTTCTCTTTCAATGGCACAAAAATGTCATCACGTGACTTACATGTAACATAGCAATGGTGCATAGAAAGTGACAGTGATTGAAAATCCATCTTGAAATTGCTGAGAGCAACCCCTTTAAAGGTTAAACAAAAAGAGAAATGGTACACTCAGAAGTTAAAGAATGTCTAGTTTGTGATTTTTTAATTAATGAATCCTGAAACATGTGGGAATAGTGCTCCTACTTCGCTTGGCTTTGGAGTCAGGGTCCCTCGAGTCGGTATGATATGCGTGACATGTTTTTTTGTTACTGAATGAATCTCCACTCAGATTTCTTAATTAAGAAACCTTTCAAGCAATACTGCAAATTAGACTCCATTAACATGTCTTCATATTTAAAAAACTCAAACATTGCTCCCTGGCTGGGCACTTCTGATTGATAAGAACAGGGCTGATGTCATTTTGCTTGGTTGGATGGTCATTACCAGCATGAGATCCTTGCATTTGATGTAGCTTATCACATCAGAAGGACATCTCAAAGCGCTTCACAGGACTTACTATGAAATGGAGTGACTGCGTATTTGTAGGCAAACTCAGCAGAACAATTGCACAAAGCAATTTCCCACAAACAGCCATGAAACAAATGATCAATTTTATTTGGGGGATTGTTGGCCAGAACACAACAATCCCTTCTCCCTTCTCTTTTTGAATAGTAACTTTATCTCTATTCCCAACCCAACTCTATCTCTTTGCCTCCACCCCTCGATTCCAGGACAACTGATGTCCTGACAGACTGCCTGTCTGACATCAAGTCCTGGGTGAGAGCCAACCTTCTACAGCTGAATGTCAGTAAGACTGAGGCCCTCCTGATCGGCTCGCGCCAGCGCCTCAGCACCTCGGGCACTGACAGCATCAGCATCCATGGTTGCGCACTCCACCTCACCAAATCAGTTAGGAACTTGGGCATCTTGTTCAACCCTCAACTGTCTTTTCTCCCCCACATCCACGCCATGATGCTCTCTACCTTCCCCGACCTCTGGAACATTGCCCAAATCTGCAACTGCCTTACCCCTCAGACCATCGAAACCCTCATACATGCATTCGTCACCTCAAGGCTCGACCACTGAAATTCTCTACTTGTTGGCCTCCCAAACTTTTCCCTCCACAAGCTGCAGATCATCCAGAACTCTGCAGCTTGTGTCCTCTCCCGCACCAGGCTCCGTGACCCCGTCACTCCCACCCTCGCCCGGCTCCACTGGCTCCCCATCCCTCAAAATCCTCATCCTCACTTTCAAGGACCTCCACAGCCTTGCGCCCTCCTACATCTCTGACCTTCTGACACCCATCAACCTGTCCGCTCCCTCCACTCAGCAGGCTCTGGCCTGCTTCAGGTTTCCCGCCCGACCCGCCCTACCATCGGTGGCCGGGCTTTCAGCCTCTCTCCCCCCACTCTTTGGAATTCCATCCCACAATCTCTTCGCCTTGCTCTCTCTCTTGCCTCCTTCAAGGCATGACTCAAAACCCTCCTTGTTGACCGTACCTTAAGCCACCCTCCTACCCCCTCTGCCCTCCCTCATCCCAACCCTGTCCTGATCCCTGACTGTTCAGCACCTTGGGACATCCTCCTGACGTGAAAGGCACTTTGCAACTGTAATTTTGTTGTTGTTGTTGTAGTACCATCGGATCTTTAATGCCCACCTGAACAGTCAGATGGGACTTCGGTTTAACGTCTCATCCGAAGAACAGCATTTCCGACAATGAAACCTCCCCCTCCCTCAGCACTATATTGCAGTGTCAACTTAAATTATATGAGTTGGCAGCGGACTTTAACCCACAACCTTCTGACTCAGAGGCGAGAGTGCTACCGCTGAGCCAAGATGAAAGTATGGGATGCTTATGGCCAACAAAGACATTGGGCAGCTATATAAGTGTTTAAATTATTATTTCAAAATCCTATTTTATTCTGGTGTGATCTCTCCCAAGACTCCCACACCCCTACTCTTCTTCCTCCTTTGCTCGCTCCCCAGAGTTAACTTTGTCATTAAACCACTAATCTGTTTAGGCAGCTTGATGGTGCAATGGGTTAGTGCACTCCACCATTCACTGTGAAAGGACTCGAGTACCGATCGGAGCTGACAATTGAACTCATGCTTTCTCTAGAAGGCAAGTCGCTGATATTAGCTGGATTGTCAGGCACAGCACCAAATGCAGGCTCCTAATTGAATTCAGAAGGGATTCAACCTGAATTGCTTGTCAGTGTCTTTTAACGAAGAACAAAAATGAAATGCTAAAAGAGATCATTCTTTTACGCCCACGAATATTTAAAGGCTACTTGTTAGCTTAACTCTTTTTGCTTTGAAAAGAGCGAACTGAAAAAAATAATTACACAGAAGAGACAGAAAGTTTCAAAGCTGGTTCAATATTTTCAAAACAAAATGGGCATATTTTGTAGAAAGTTCTGCCTCTTTCACTGACAAGAGGTATGTGCTGTGACAAGCACAGGGAAAATAAAGCGAATGAGAGATAAATATGGCTATCGAACTATTAATTGTGGGCTGTTCAAAGCAAATAGCCATTTTTTCAAGGCTTTCAAATAGAAAAATACACAATTTCCCTCTCATTATCCAACCTCTGAATTCCAATTGCTTTGAATAAATGAGATCTGGGTATATTGATGGAAACCACTCTAAAAAAAAAGTACTTTTCTCAAATAGATATACCACATGGTTTGTAGAATTTCTTTGCCAGTTAGAAAAAAGAAAAATGGCATTTAATTTGAATGTTACAATTGTAGCAAGGCAGTTGATTGCAATCTGTTATAAACCTTAGACTGCTTACAATTTTATGAGGTACTGAAATCTATTTGGTCTAGGCTGATACTCCAGTACAATGCTGGAGGAGTGCTGCATTGTCAGAGTGGGCATCCTATTTTCTCCTACAAAAGGGCATCACATCCACAAATATAATTACATTGTTTTGCAGTTCAGGCTTTTTGTTCAGGTGTTTCGTGTGGAAAGACCATCTCCACTGTGGTCTTTCCTGGATAGAAACGTGCAGATGCTTTCTCAAAGCTCCAGCAGTTCTAAAATGGCTAATTTCCAACGTTGGTATTTTGAACAAAGTTTGAATATATTCCTCGTCTAGAGAATCCAGTACATTGTAAACTGGTATCCTGGATATATCTCAAGGTTATAACTCAGGGGAAGAACGAGCCTCTTGTGTGCTAAATTGAAAATAAATCTCTGACACCAGCTGCTGACACCACAAGAGACAGATATTTATGTCTGAAAGCAGCAATCGCTGAAATGAAAGAATGTTAGACTTAAGTAACTGGTTCCCAGTCTACCTGCTGTCCAATCCATCATGATGTTTCGTTGAACAGTAACCTGCAATTTGTTAATATTTAAACCAGCTAGTCATATATTAAAACTGGTGTTAAAAGCCGCAGGAAAGACAGAATTTGACTCCACTTGTCCACCCCACTACAAACTGATCCAAACCTTCTCCTGTCGTGAAAAGAGGCACCAAGTTTGCCTCCACCATCGTCAATGGAAGGTCAAAATACAGACCACCATATATCCCCTTTGGGCTCCTGTTCTCCACAATCTTCCTCTGAGAAGCAAACCATTCACATGTGGAGTCCTGAAGCTCAGTGGTTAGAGCACTCGCCTTGCAAGCGAGACACCTGGGTTCAATTCCAGGCAGGACGAAACCTTGGGCAAGTTTCCTTACTCTACACGCCTAATAATAATCCCTCCAAAATAAAAAAAACAATAATAAATTGGTCATTTTCAATCCACGACTGTTTGTGGGACACTGTTGTGCGCGATTGGCTGCCGCGTTTCGCCCACAAATATACAGTCAATTCACTTTACAGTCTATTCTGTGAAGCGCTTTGAGATGTTGAGAAGACGTGAAAAGCGCTATATCAAATGCAAGGATTATTATTATTATGTTTCAGAATTGCGATGACTACAAGTCTGCAAAGACGTGCAATGGTTTGGCTCCATTTCAAAGGGTCTGCCAAGGGCCTCCAAAACAATGCATGACAAATAATAATACTTGTATATTTCATATTTGCAGGATGTCTCAGAGTGCTTCATGGAATTTACTGTAAAGTGTAGTAACTGGGTATGTTTTTGTAGTTAATTTACTCATGCTATTTCAAATGCAAGGATTATTATTATTATTATTATTATTTAGTGACTCACAAATTTTATTTGGGGATTGTTGGTCAGAGTACCTGGAGAAACTCCCTTCTCTTTTTAAATAGGGTC